TGGCGAGGGGACTTGCATAAAACTGAGAAGACAGCAAATGTCCATAACAAAAAGTGGAGGTGGAAGATTAATGGAACCACCCCCTGGCGTTTCCCTAAAGATGCACAGGCATTGCCATGTGGCTTTCTCACCCATCACCCGCTGTCCACCTGGGGACTTAGCCCTTGCCCTTCCACTCCAGTGTCAGAAGCATGGGTCTGGAGGATTTCCTGATCATGAAGCATTTACAAAGTCACACAGACTCACCTGTGTCCCCATATTTTGAACAGCACTGGCCACCTTACTCATGGTAGCAGTGCATGGACAAATTATCCCGGATAATAACGTAATATCCTTATTTCATAAAGAAAATGAACCTGAAGCTCTGAAGGGAACAAAGGTGCTGGCCTACACATATACAAACACAGAGAGAGAGAGAGAAAGAGAGAGAGAGAACATGTTAGAAGTATCTGAGGAAATGCAATTAAAGTAGTGGCATGGGTAGCCCCAATATTAACAAGTATAAGTGGGTGGTATTTAATGAGCATTTACTACATGCGTGCCCTGTTCTAAATGCTTTTTATGTTTTGACTCACTCAATTCTTTCAAGAGCAGGTGAAGGAAGTCCTGTTATTCCTATCTCTCAGATGAAACCCAAGAAGGCAGGACCACTAAGTGTGAGACCACGTACCTTTTCCACTTTTAGGGGTAACCCAAATAGCAGGAGCCCTGGTTTCACGTTCTAGAGCAGGGATTTTTCAAGCTGCCTTGTGGAACTACAGAGGGGAAGCCATCTCATACCTTCACCTCAACTCCCGGCAAAGCAGTGCTGCTTTTTTCCAAATAAGTGTTAATTAGAAGAAAACACTATTTAACTTAAAAAATTTAAACTCTTAGCAGGCCCACTCTAAACAATAATCTCAAAGGAGACAACTATCTAAAAGCATGTGACGTTCTCCGTCACAAAGTGACTTCCAGGAGGGTACAGCCTGTGAAAGAGTTTTAATTAGCCTTCAGAGTGTTTCTTAAAAATTCAATAACTTGCCAGCACTTAAAATATCATGAGATTTCACATAGCAATCTGGCCACACAGGGCCCACCTTCCCGCATGGCAATGGCGAGGTGGAGTTGGGCAACAACTGTCCACTTGGCCTGAACTTTCCTGTTCTCAGCTTCCCCAGCTGGGGCCCCTTCCGGCATGGACATTACCTGTTGGCTCCATGGGATTTGAGGGTGCCAATCCAGCTCTAAAAGCCCCAAGTTCTCCTTCTAAATGCAAGTGCATCCCAGGTTATCACATCACTTGTCAGAATTCCTCCAGAATTGTCCCTTTTAGTTCCTTAGTTCTTCCCAAAGCAGCTGGCCCCTAAACAACTGTCCTGACCCCCTTCTGACTTCAAAGGAGCTGGCGAGCCTGTGTCAGTGGTGGCCTGTGTCCATTCGGGTTAAGCCTACCAGGCACTGGATGCTACCCGCCTCCAACCGGTAGACGTATGCAGAAGGGCCCCCTACCTCAGCTTCTCCAAAAAATTTAGATTATTTTATGAATGATAGATGTATTAAGGAGATCACTTTATATTTTCAGACAATACAACTTATTAAAGATAACATATTCTGTGAGTATATTACCCTTTCTGTTTTTCTTTTGTCCTGAGTTGATCTCTTCGGAGTAACAAAAGGGTCTTCTTCAAAGTCCTTCACTAGGGTTGCAAATATTGTCATCATTACTCTCTCCACACTTTTTCTGATTTTTCAAACCTATATTATATATATATAGGTATAAGTACATATATATACACATATATATATATCTGCCTTCATCCGAATTTTTTTAGTCTTCAAGATGTGTATCCAGCTTGGTCTTCCTCACCCAGAGTGACATGATGCAAAATTCCCACATCCAAAGGGCTAAGAGTTGAGGTGGGGCCTAACTCCTGTACTGACTAACTGTGCGGCTCTATTGGAGCCACACCACCTCTCCACCTCTAAGGTGGAGATGATAATCGTGGGTCATTCAGCCAGTCAGGGACCCTCACTGAGCACCCACTGGGGGCTAGGCCAGGCTCCAAGCACTTCTGGTCCTGGGCCAGCAAAGCATAGAGGTGGCCTCGCCTCCTGGAGCTCAGGGTCTGGAGAGGGTCCCGGGCAGCTGTGAATCCTGGTGAGAAGGGCACCTGAGGGGGGCTGTGCAGGGAGGGGGAGCCTGGCTGAGAGTGGGGTGTGAGCTGTGGTCTTGAGGATGAGCAGGAATTAGTTAGAAGAAAGGTAGATGGGCCCTCCTGCTAAGCAAGGGAAGCCGAGTGGGAAGGAGCTGAGCCAGGACGCAGTCCCCAGGGAGTCCCGGCTGCAGGGGGCCTCTCCCCTCTGCCAGCCTCACCCTGCGGCCCCCACTAGTGCAAGTCAGGACCTCGGAGACACACCACGACCCAGTCGCGCCCCCTGGCGCTGAGAACAGGCGTTTTCTTCTCAGCTCGGGAGGCGTCGGAAGGCCTGTCGGGGGAGGGGAGCGCTTCCCTCCAGGGGCCGGAGCCGCGCACAAAGCCCGCTCTGTGGGCAAGATTCAAAGAGAGAGCCCAGGGGCAGGGGGCCTGTGCCAGCACCGCCTCCCGGTGTCAGCGCCCACCCCGCCCCCACCGGGCCCTTCTCCGAATCCTTCAGGCCCTCTGGGCTTCCAGAAACAACACTGCCCTCTTCAGATGCCAAAGAAAATCACGAGGGGGTGGAAGCGCAGAGGGGAGGAGGTGGCGAGGCGGAGCCACCTTCCATGACGAGAAAGAAGCGGTGCCCTCCACCCGCAGGGCCGACGGCCACCTGCGCCAGGTCTCAGCCCGGGACCAAGGGTGCAAGAAAGTCACGTCAGAGACCAGGAAAGTAAAGGGACTTTCTTAGGTTTTACTCAAGTCGGAAATCAGCAGAGGAAAGCGCACAGCAGACTCAGACTCAGCAAGGCCAGCACTAGTTCCCCAGCAGGCCCTGCTGGCCACGCGGCGCCCCCCGCTGGCCGGTCGGCCAACTGCAGCCAGCGGCCAGGGAGCCACACCAGCCCCTGGCTCCTGTCACCCACCGGGTAGAGGCCATGGCATGGGCCTCAGCCACCCTGGCCCACTGTGAACTCATATAGAATTCAGCCCCGACACATACAGAATTCAGATTAAAATTATTAAGTAAATTTAAACAAGTCTGTTGTTGAAGTTTGACTGCCCCTCAATCCACGCTAGGGGAGGAAAATAAATTTCTGGTAGGGCTCTGAGTTTTAGAGGGAGTTTCAGTTTCCTTCTTTTGAAATAGCCCAATCCTGCCTATTTGGGAGGATTTGAGGAACTTAAGAAGCTGATGTGGGGGTGCTCGGGGAGGGGTACCCCTGACAGGGCAGAGAGCCCGGCTCCTGCCTGGGACTGGAAGCTCCACAGCTCCCCTGGGGTCAGGGGCAGCAGGCGCAGCATTCAAAGGGGAGGTGGGAATAGCCTCGCTGCCCTTGGCTGTGCAGACCACCCGTGAGTGACCCGTTCTGTGTGCACTCAGCCTGAGCCCGTCAGGTGTCAGCTCCGCTCCCGGCCTTTCTCCTCGGGCCTTACTCTCTAGCTCTCCGACTGCCTCTGCCTCTCTCTCCAAGTTTCATCTCTTCTCTGGGCCGAGCCCCTGAGGACCAGTGGGATGGAATGGGAAGAGTAATGGCTTTCAAGTCCAGACTGGGGTTCAAATCCCAGCTCCGCCACACACTGGCTATGGGATCGTAGGCAAGTCCTCCACGACCCTCAGGTTCCTCATCTTTGACCTCCCAGAGAACAGGGCCCAAGCCTCTTACTTACCATGAATCCTTCGCACACAGTTTCTTGCTTTGTATATAGTAGGTGTTCAATGATCATCTTAATAAGAGCATTAAAATCTTCCAGGCTCTGTTCTAAGTACTTTTATGTAGATTAACTCATTTAATCCACAGAACAAGTCTGTGATACAGGTGCTAGCATATCCCCACTTTACCAATAAGGAAACTGAAGGTCATTTATTGAATGAATGAACACGTGAATGAATAACATGGCAATTGCAAGAATTATTTATGTCAAAGAGCCTGACCAAGTACCTGATACCTCACCTCTTCTGTATCCTGTCTGCCACCCTTTCTGTTTCTCCTGTCACTGGGACAAAGCTGTTAAGCACCCAGTCTCCACCCCAGGCCCACATGGCCACCTCCCACCCTTCCAGAGAGGATGGCGCCCACCTCTGTCTGGGTGTGTACAGGGTTCCTCGGAAGGAGGGAAGCGGCACTGGTCTTAGGATAGAAAAACAACACTGCAACCCACTCCCCACTGCCCCTTCCCCCAGAGGATGCTGCTGTGGGATCCAAGGTCTGTTGAATCCTGGGCAATGTCTCACCAGCCTTCGGCTCTCAGCACAAGATGGCCAGAGGCAGTGTACAAACCAATAGCCAGTGCTGCCAACTGTCCTTAAGAGCAGAGGGACTCAAAGCTGCTTCCAGGGGTGCCTGGCACACAGTAGGCATTTAATAACTATTGAGCTGATTGATAATTTTCTATGAATCACGCAGCCTATATACATTAACCCCAAACTGCAGAACAGCCCTGTGTGTTGGGAACATTCTCCCCATTTTACAGATGAGGACACTGAGGCTTAAATTTCTAAGGCCCAAGTGGAAAGTGGCAGAACCTGGATTTGAGCCCAGGCTTGCTAGGCCCCAAAGCCTATGCTCTTGACACCATGTTGTCTGAAACTGGATCACGGAGGGGCCCTCTTCTTTCCATCTCCACTAATTCCCCTCTTTCTAGGCACCAAAGCTAGGCCTGGACATTCCCAAGCCACGCCTGGGTTTCTCACCCCTCTCATTCCCTCTCCTCCCCTAAAGTCCACCCATAGGATCCAGTCCCCTCTGGTTTTTACTGCAGAATAGAAGTGACCTGGGCCCCAGCAGGACACCCAGGGCTGGAGCCCCTGTCAGCCCACGGGGGCCCTTCAGAGGCTCTCCTCGGGGGCGTCACACCTCACCTCTCTCTCCTCTGGTGCAGCCTGCGACTCCTACTGGACGTCCGTCCACCCCGAGTACTGGACTAAGCGCCACGTGTGGGAATGGCTGCAGTTCTGCTGCGACCAGTACAAGCTGGACGCCAACTGCATCTCCTTCTGCCACTTCAACGTCAGCGGCCTGCAGCTGTGCAGCATGACGCAGGAGGAGTTCGTGGAGGCGGCCGGGCTCTGCGGGGAGTACCTGTACTTCATCCTGCAGAACATCCGCTCACAAGGTCGGCGTCCAGGGCCAGGCCTGGGGAGGGCCGAGAGTGGGGCCGGGTGCCCCCGTCCGTGCCCCCCTGCCGGGTCACTCCCACAGCCACCCGGAATGGTGGAATTTCAGGCACGTTAGACCAGGGCAGTTATCACGCGGAGCAGGAGAACCGTCGGCTCCACCGCCCCCTCCACTCCCAGGTTCCTCCTTCAATGTTCCTCCAATGGGAGTGTATTGAAATCATGCAGGGTGACCAGCGTTTACAGCGGCCCGATCTGCCCAGGGTGCCTTGTTTTCACCTATTATCCTGGAATGCTTATTACTAGCGCTATCTTTCATTCTCGAAAGTGTCTATGGAAAACATCTGCAATACTGTCAACGATAATTTTTTTTTTTAAATCATAGGGTGAGCTGGTTGTTACCTGGTTTAGGCCTTATATTACTCCGTAGACTAGGGCTCTGGCAGACAAGGGAACAAAACAAATACGCTTTGACAGGGAGAGGAGCCAAAGGGAGGCCTAGGGCCCAATATGCTGTCTGGCTTGGTAGGTTCAGTAGGATTTAAGGATCCAGAAACATGCGACATAGGTCAGCAGGCAGGGTGGAGAGCAGAGGGGGACTTCCACAGCCAGTCCCCATCCTGTTCTCGGGCAGCCCGTTGGGCAGAGTGAGCTGAGGTGCATGGCCGACCAGAACCAGAGAAAGGCACTGGGAATAAACAGTGGCAGGTGTGCCTTTCCTGTTCCAGTCTCCTTAGTAAATACAACTTAGTCCTCACTGTGGGCACCCAGCCAGAAAGAGGTGTCCTTTGGCCTGTGCAGTTTCATGAAAGCCTGATTTAAAACTCCTAATTCACCTCCAGCACGCCCATTTTTCAGAAAAGCAAACTGAGGCCTGCATTCTTTGTGGCCGCCTATGTCCATTTCCCCTCTTTGACCAGCACCCAACAGGCATTCAAACCCCCAAGGAATTAGAGGCCAAGTCACAGACCACAGACTTGTAGAGGCAAAGGGGAGCTCAGTGGTGTTTTTGTCACGTGTTGTGAATGAGGAACACGAGCCCGGAGACTGAGTGACTGGGCAAGGCCTCACAGGGGTCAGTGGCCCAGCCCAGCTCAGAGCCCGGGACTCACTCCCCGGTGCCCACTCAGAAAATCTTAGAGGCCACTGGGACACCTGGGGCTCTCTCCAGGTGGCCTTTAAAAACAAAGAGAGTGTCACCTCTCAGGAGTGCCTTCCGGTTGTGGCCCTATAAAGGCCAGGTGGTCTCCAAGATCCCTTGTGAAATAAAACTATCCCCCAGAAGGGCCAGTCATGCCCCTTCTTGCTAGCACCTCTCCAGGCCTGGCCAGGGGAAACCAGGACTGCATGATCCGAGTTTCTTTTTCTTTCCCAGGTCACTCCTTCTTTAACGATGCTGACGAGACCAAGGCCACCATCAAAGACTGTAAGTAGCCAAGTTTGCGCTGCCCAAGGTTCTGCTAAGGCTGTTGTTGGGCATGTGGATCATTTTTTTAGGACCGCAGTGAGAGGTTGATGGCCTAAAACAACCACAGACTAAGAGAAGACAGCAGGAAAAGTGTAGTGGACAGAGCTTGGGGCTCGGGTCTATATGATTTCCTAGCCTACCCCAGACTCAGTTTCCCTATCTAAACATGGTATGTGAGTTCCAGAAACAATGTATACGAAGTGCCTGGCACGTGCCAGCAGCTTAGATGCTCCAAAAGCTGGTATCCGTTAGCAATAATAACCCTAATTACTAACCATTAGAGGCCTGTGGTTGATAGTGTCTGCAAAGAATCTGAGCTCACTAAGCAGGTCGAATATGTAATTATAAGGTGATGGAGCACCTCAAATGGCCTGTTCATTCTGAAAATTAACTCTCTGTTTCGCCTTTGCAGATGGAGAAGGTTTAGGAAAGGGAGCTTTGTAGCTTTGATATTTTTAAAGATGATGATTGCTATTAGTTACTGAGCCCACACAAAGGCTCTGGCCTGGGGACCAGGGTGTGGGTCCTGGGCAGGCCCCTTTCCTCCCAGACTTCAGCTCATTCCTCTGCAAAAAGAAGACAGGGTACATGGTGACTCCCTGAGAGGTGCAAGCTGAGCGGCAGGCAGACGGCTGGTTTCTTATGATTTATCTTCTCTCTCCTTAAAGTCCCAAGAAATCAACTGAGGATCCAAGATGATTTGGTTAATGAGGATTTTTAATTGTTTTAGTGCAGGCAGCCAGGTCTGTGCACCATGTGCTATGGGCTTAGGCAGGCGCCCCGTGCCCCACAGCCTGAATGCCCTCATAAGAGCTTTCGCTCTGTGCCAGATTCTGGGCTCCGTGCTGGAGATACAAAAGTGAATGAGACAGACTTAGTCTCTGATCATGTGGGATTTAAGGACTAATGGCCAAGGTAAAACATGAATGAAATGAACGAATCGCCCCAGTGTCGGATACAAATTCTCCTTCAAGACAAATACTGAGTCTCTGGCATCGTTGCATCTCCCACCTACTGATCACCCCCAAAGTGCCTAGCATGGTGTCTTCTACCACAAAGGTGTTCAATGCATTTGCTCATTGGGTGCGATCTGAGGCCCGAGTGTGGCCTCTGATTCCTTCCTACTGCTGTGAATCATTCTATTCCAGATACTGACTCCAGTTGCTTGAAAACGAGTGGTATCAAAAGTCAAGACTGTCACAGCCATAGTCGAACAAGTAAGTATGGAGATACCCCTTTTCAGTTCTAATTTCTCAAAACCGTTCACGAGACAAAGTAACCCACTTTCATGAGCTCTGAATGTTTAAGTGGGACCAGTTATTTCCCAAAGGAGGTAGTAAAGAAATTGGCAATGATTTCTATAAATGTTACCAAACTCACATTTCTTCCTTTTTCACTTGGAAATAGTACTATAAGAATTAAACTGAGGAAGTAAAGCAATGTTCTACCCATGTTGAAGGAAGGTTTGTTTGCCCTGGTCCACCCCGCTCATAATCAGTCTGCTGAGCTTGCTTCTGGCCATTTGACATGTATTAAATCATAACCCTCTAGCCTATGCTATGAAGGAGGTACTCTTATTACCCCATTTTAAAGGTAACTAGAGAGATTACAATTACAGAGCTAGGAAGAGGTGGATTTATGACCCAATCCCAGGCAGCTGGACTCCAGAACCAGTCTCAGCCACAACAGAGTGGAACAAGAGAAATACCAGCTTTTTGTGAAAAATATAATTGCTGGATTGGTCCACCCAGGCAGTTGTGGGTGTGGGATCTTAATACAGCCGCACTGCCTGTCAGAAAGAAGAATGAAAAAACTATTGGCGGTCATTTCATTAATTCCCTAAGAATTGCTCTGCGGTTCCACAGAGTGGGGAAAAGTCCATGAGCCGCAGCGTTGCTCATCAGTGTTAGTCTGTGTCTGTGTCTTGTGATTGCTTTACTACAAGAGACATTTCACAGTTCAGTGAGGTTCCCAGCAGGGCATTCCATCATAACTATAGAAAATAACCCCACAGAGCAGCGATTCTCATGGGTTAATGAGAAGCTGTACAACTCTCTTAAAATTTAAAAAAAAAAAAGTAACTTTTTTTCCTTCCAAAGGCCTCCAAAGTTCTCATCTGTGGGAATTCGTGCGTGACCTGCTTCTGTCTCCTGAAGAAAACTGCGGTATTCTGGAATGGGAAGATAGAGAACAGGGTATTTTTCGGGTGGTTAAATCAGAAGCCCTGGCAAAGATGTGGGGACAAAGGAAGAAAAATGACAGAATGACATATGAAAAGTTGAGCAGAGCTCTGAGGTAAGTTAATAGCACGAAATGCCATGAGCCTTTGGGCAGTTATGTAAAATGGCCAGCCAGAGAACATTAAATTGTTTTTGCAGCTTTTTTCTTGATAATCAAAAGGTCATGAGACAGCACTGAGGTTCTTAGTTACAGGTGGGATTATGGTTTGTAAATGGACACGCCGGACCTTTCATTCTTGGCAGTGTTCCCCGGGGCTCACTCTGAAACCAGGCAGCTCACACACACACACAACACGTTCTGGTTCAGTCCTCAAGCTGTCTGGGAAAGGTTTAAGTGTAAGTCGATAACAGGGTGTGAAAATACCAGGGCAACCAAAGACGGGCCTTGTCACCAGAGAAGAACAGGGACAGAGTGTTTATGTTCTGTTGTTTGCCTGGGTTGCAGGCCCGCCCCATGTTTCCCTTCTGCTGTCTTTCTCAGGTACTACTATAAAACAGGAATTCTGGAGCGAGTCGACCGAAGGTTAGTGTACAAATTTGGAAAAAATGCACACGGGTGGCAGGAAGACAAGCTATGATCTGCTCCATCATCTGGCTCCTGTTATGGATTTCTTAAAACAATCAGATTGCAATAGACATTTGAAAGTCTTGGTTTTTGTTTGTTTTTTTAAACCTGCAAATGTGCTGATAAAATTTCTCCACATCTCAGCTTACATTTGGATTCAGAGTTGGTGTTGTCTACCTGGGGGTGATGGCAGCAACCCTTAAGAAATTCTGTGTTTTTTTTCCCCCGAGGGGAGGAGGGGTGACCTTTTCTGGTACCTTGAGCAAACATTGCTTCCCCATTTGAGAGGTGCAGAGCCACAGCCGCCAGTGCCACGAGTGCACCTCAGAGAAAATGATCCAGTTCTGCCTTTAGGCTCACCCACCGCTCCCATCCCCAAAGCTCAGAAGTTCCCACACATTTAACTGCAGCAACTCACAAAGGAAAAAAGTGATTCGTTTGTACTTCATGTAACAGGAGGGGGTGAGACATGGGTAAGACAAACATACTGTAGATTTTAAATCGTTAAAGTCAAGTTCCACAGAAAAGCTTCTAAACTAGTGAAAGAGCTCAGCCATCAAACTGGTACATCACTGGGTTCAGCATAGGTTAACAGGAAGTTTCTTAACCAGAACATCTTTGTGGCCACTCAGCAAAACTCCCATGGCCATCCTTCCCAAATAACACACTAAGATTAGGCACAGTCTTTATTCTTGCCGAGTGTATTCCCCTCTTCTCCTGGCGGTGGGGGGCATCAGACAGGCAAAGACACTTACATCAACTTCCAAATCACCGCTGTTTCTACGACTCAGCTGTCAACACGATGAAATCGTAATTCATTGATTCTGACCGTGGCCAAGCCATTAAACCTTTATAGAACCGGAAATGTCCTGACCACTCAGTAATGGCCAATTAAAGTATGAGTCTCTTGTGTTTTGTCCCCCTACCTGATATGTAATCCAGCTCTAGAACACACATTTTCTTGACAAAAAATAGTGATGGTGAATTTATACCACTGAATGTTCCCGGGTTAAAGTCCGCATTGCCATTCTCACGGGTCACTGGTAGGTAAGCCACTTCTATTTCACCACCAGAGCGGGAAGCTTCACGTGGCGAGGACTGCACCATACACACTACCCACTGAGGACCCCCATGCTTGAAGAGTTTAACTTCAAAAGTAACTTGTTTTAGCCAGGCTGGAGTAGCTCAATCGGTTGAGCGTTGCCAGTTTGATTTTCAGTCAGGGCACATACCTGGGTTGTGGGTCGGATCCCAGTTGGGGCATGTACAGGAGGCAATCAATTAATGTTTCTCTTTCACATTGATATTTCTCTCTCTCTCCCTGTTTCTCAGCATGTCCTCAGGTGAGGATTTAAAAAATAAAAAGGAACTTATTTTAAAAAATGTGAATTACTGTAAAATAATCTATTTTTGAATTCATGTGTTTTCCAGGTGGATACAGTTTGTAAACAATGTGAATAAAATATTTAACATGTTCAACCGTCTCTGTTTGTTAAATTCAGCAAGGCACTGACAACCTAAACCTTTGAGGACACTTCCATTTCCTAGCTTTATGGGATGGGGATTTTTAAAGCGCCCCAAAAGATGCAAGAAGTATATGGAGTAATCCTACCTCCACCTTTACATCATAAGACAGAGGTCCCTCAAAAAGGAAAGGCCTAGGCCAGTGGGGCCTATTGGTATGTTTTTGTTTGGTGCACACAAACACAGACATTCTTTTGCTTGTTGTTTTGAGGTTTTGTATCTTACTATGAATTCATTGCCTTGTTTAAAAATCAGATTTACAGAATAATCCAGTTTTCCAGCTTCTTAAAAGTCAGGTCTGGCAACACTCGTTTCTTAGTGCCCAGAGCTAAGTAGAACTGGCCCTTTGGGCAGAGCCTCTAGGCACCACTTCCTGCCACCTTCCAGACGCAGGCGTCAGCTTTGTTCTTGCACTACTGTGGTTGGTCTGTTTGTGTGTTTGTTTCATACATCCAGAAAGCTTGGACATTTTGAATTTGGGACCCCTGCCCTGTCCATCTAAATAGGTAAGTACCATATTAATGGACTGGGTCAAAGCCCACAGTCCCGCTGAAGGAGAGTGTCCGGGAAACTGGGAATTAGGTAACAAGAGGGGAACTGGGAGCTTTCAGGCAAAGAGCTTGGCAGAACCGAGCAGCTCAGGGGGATGGCGGGGCAGAGCAGGCAGCAGTGAACAGGACTGGTGAGTAACATACCACCTAAGAGACGCTGTCCCACCCCCAGAGGTGGCATCAGGCAACTCAGAGAGCAAAACAATGAATCCCTCTGCTACTCGAGAAGTTGTCCCTTTTTAAAACCATTAAATCAGCATCCTCTTTGTATATGTTTCCTAGGGCTGCCCAAGACAAATCACCATATTTGGTGGCTTAAGACAACAGAAACTTATCCTCTCACAGTTCTGGAAGCTGAAAGTCTGAAACCAAGGTGTTGGCAGAGCCATGCTCCCTCCACGGGCTCTAGGGATGAACCCTTCCTGGCCTCTGACAGCTCCTGGGGCCTCCAGGCGTTCCTTAGCTTGTAGCTGTAAACCTCCAATCTCTGCCCCATCTTCATGTGACAAGCCCTACCTTCTCCCCTTTGCTCACTGAGAAGGACACTTATCATTGGATTTAGGGCCCATCTTCGTAATCCAGGATAATATCATCTCGAAACCCCTGCAAAGACCATTTTTCCAAAGCAGGTCATCTTCACAGGTTCTGGAGGTTGGGACATGGGCATGTCCTTTTGGGGGCCATCAGTCAGCCCACTATGCCCTTTAAAATATGGGTTTTACTTACACATATAGTCTCATAATACAATTCTCCCAAGAACAGAAAATACAAAGGACTGTTTAAAATACCACACTTTAAGCAAACAATACCAAACAAACAAATAAATATGACAGGCAATGCAAAATTCACTTATCAAACAGTCAAATGGGAGGGTATTTCCTTTATAAAAAGGGTCACTATAGAGCTTTCCATAACACACTTTCCATGTTAATGACTGCTTAAAATTCTCAAAAATTCAAGAGTAATCAGAGCTTTTTTAGTTCACCTCTGCTAACCCTTCCCATCTTTAAAACCTCTGATAAGAATTTTAACCCTTCAGTTTGTCTTATTTAAAGTAGAATCTAGCCCTTTGCTTTTTGGTAATACCACTAACTAGATGCAAAGAAATGGCCTAGCAGCTTTCCCGATGTTTTTCTCAGAAAAGTGAGTGCTAAGCAGTTCGTAAAACTCACTTCCTTAGCAGACATTACAAATTAGAGTGATGCCCTTTGATCAGGTAAAGAAAAGAATTGTTTTTCAACCAAAATTCTGACACTACCGTGCTTCTAAAAGCCCAGGCCAAGTCCTCCTTTCGGAAGAGCAAACAACAGATTTTAAAACACCGGGAGTCGATTTTTAGAGTGGTGGGCCAAGAGGTAAGAGAAAATGTCTTTTAAAAAGATGAGAATGTGAGAAATGAAAACACGTGTCCACACAGAAACATGTACACGAATGTTCACAGCAGCGTTATTCATAATAGCCCCAAAGTGGAAACCACCCAAACTCTCTGCACTAAGAGTGGGTAAGTAAAACTGGCACAGCCATGCAGTAGAGTATTATTTGGCAATAAAAGAAAATGAAGCGCAGATACATGCTGCACTAAGAACCTTCAGGACAGGATGCTGAGTGAAAGCCAGTCACAAAAGATCACCTATTATATGATTCCATTTAACCCAAATGTGCGGAGTAGGAAAAGCTAGACAGGATGTAGACTCCTAACAGCCAAGGGCTGGGGCAGGATTAAGCTGGGGGAATGGTGAGTGACTGCTAATGGGAACAGTGTTTTCGGTGGGAGAGGGGTTGAGGAAAATATCCTAAGATTAAATGTGGTGATGATCGCATAACTACATCTACTAAAAACCACTGAATTGGCCCAGCTGAAGCAGCTCAAGTGGTTGAGTGTCATCCCATGCACCAAAAGGTTATGGGTTCGATTCCCAGTCAGAGCACATATCTCAGTTGCAGGTTCGATCCCTGGTTGGGACATGTATGGAAGGCAACCAATTGATATCTCTCTTTCACATCATTGTTTCTCTCTCTAAGCGTCCTCAGATGATTAAAAAAAACCCCACCATTGAATTGTACAGTTTAAGTGGGTGATTTTTATATGAATTATATCTCAAAAAAACTGTTATTAAAAAAAAAGCAAAAGGTGCCCATGATCAAACACTGCTGAGGCCACGTAAGACAAGGAATGAGAACAGAACATTGCATTTTTTTGTATTGTGGTAAAATATACATAAAATTTATATTTTAATGATTTATAAAGCATATAGTTCAGTGGCATGAAGTACATCACAATGTTGTGCAACTATCACCACCATCCATCTCCAGAACTTTCTCATCTTCGCAAACGGAAACTCTGTGCCCATTCATCAATAATTCCCTGTCTCCCCTCCCCCAGCCCTTGGCAGTCACTATTCTACTTTCTGTCTCTGTTTGGACTATTCTAGGCCCCTCACATAAGTGGAATCATACCGTATTTGTCCTTCTGGCTCTGGCTTACTTCACTTAGCATAATGTCTTCAAGGTTCAGTCACGCTGTAGTATGTGTCAGAATTTCCTTCCTTTATAAGGCTGAACAATATCCCACGTGTCTGGCTACCATGTTTTGTTTGTCCATTCATCCATCGGTGAACTTCAGCTACTCTCACTGTGCATAATGCTGCTATGAACATGGGGTATATACAGACCTGCAAGTCCCTGCTTTCCCTTCTGTCGGGTATATAACCAGAAATGGGATTGCTAGATGGGACCATTAGATTTTAGCGGCATGGAAGTCATTGGTGACCCCGGTAAGGGCAGCCTGATCAGAGTAGGTTTAGGAGAGGCAGAAGATGGAGAGGGCAAAGTAAAGGCAACTCTTTTAACATACTTTTCAATAGAGGGTAGCAGACTAAAGGGGGCAACAGCAGGAAAGGCCTACGAGAACAAGGGAAGATTTGAGGACACTTGTAACAGCAGGTTTGCACACTAAGAGGAGCGATACAGAAAGAAAGGAAGAACTGGTGGCGCAAGAGAGGGCAAGGGTCATTCCCGCGAAGGCAGGAGGCGGAGGACCAGCGCATGTGCGGGGCTGACCCTCAGTGTGAGCGCAGCTCACCCCGCCAATGGAAGGAAAGGCGAGCACAGGGCTGTCGAGGCCGGCAATCTGGAGGATTTGGGTGGAGGGAAAGTTTGGGAAGTTATTATCGTTGGTGAAACGAGCTGAGAAGGAGGGGGAAGGACAGATGGGAGAGTCTGTTGAGGAAGGAAAGACAGATTTCCACAGTGTCAAGGGTCCCCTTGAGGTTTGTGGCCGAAAGTGTAAAAGCCTGGTCAGCAGGGCTGTTCTGCTCCAGCCACAGTCATTTCAGCACAAGAGCTAAGGAAGAAGCCTAGTTTACCAAGGCTGGTTCTGCAGTAATTATGACTTTAAACCAGAACATCTAAACAGAGTAAGAAGGGAAGTAATGGCATGCTGAGGGTGATGGCCAGTGTGGTTTCTAGCCGTGTGGAAGAACTGATGGGAGGGGAAGTCTATGCTAAGTTGTTCACATACGTTGACACACATACACAGACACACAGACACACACAGACACCTCCATGAGTAGAGTACATTCCTCACCCTTTGACTTCAGGCTTAGCCGTGTGACTTGCTTTGGCCAATATTGGTGAGCATGATATAAATAAAGGCTTGAAACACACCTGTGCAATTGTAGTCACTTTTCCTGAGACAGGGAAAATGGTAGGTTTCCTTTTCTTGCATTCTTGCACGTTTGCCACCACTGCTGGCTAGTGCCATCACCATGGGTCCCATGTATCTGAATGTCACTTAAAAGGAATATAATTAGATAGTAATTCCCAGTAAAACCTAAGTGGGGAAGTTAACCTCATCAGTATTTATCTTTGAAAACTACACAAGAGGTCTCCGGAATAAAACTGGAGGCAATTCCATGTGCCTGATTTTTACATACAAGAAACATAGTAGATACATGTGACTTTAACTACTGACTTATTTTTACACTACAGAATAGAACAAAGCAGAAAATTATCTCAAAAATTCTGTTTATAACCAATATTTAAATAAATAACCTCCTTCCCATTGTCAAATTATATTAATTTTTATCAGTTTATCTTATATATTATATTTAATACTATCAAGAGGTATAATTATAGTGAAGTTACTCTACTGAAAATATTCACCACTGGGTACAAAAGGATAAATTTACTTTCTA